CACTGCCTCTCTGCAGCAGGTACTCCCCTCCCACCCCCTGTGGGAGACCTTGAGAATGCTCTCCCCACAGGCCACAATGCCATCTCTGTATCTCCCCAGATCACTGCATCCCCTAGCAGCACCAGCAGCAGCAGCAGCAATAGCAGCAGTAGCAGCAGCAGCAGTAGCAGCAGCAGCAGCAGCAGCAGCTCTCTTACAGCTGTGTCTGCTGTGAGCAGCACTTCAGCCGTGGACCCCCCTTTGCCCAGGTAAGGGTGAAAGCTGGGGGAAGCAGAGACTAACATCAGGTGATATCAAGCTCTGGCTGCTGACTTCTCAGCCTTCCCATCACCAGACCACCTGAGGAGCTGACCTTGAGCCCGAAGCTGCAGCTGGATGGAAGTCTGACAATGAGCAGCAGCAGCAGCCTGCAGGGAAGCCCACGCAGCCTCCTGCCTAGCTTGCTCCCAGGTCCAGCTGACAAATTGACTTCTAAGGGGTCTGGACAGGTATGTGTGTGCGTGTATGTGAAGTGCTGGGTAGCTGGTGGGTGGCATTTTCCTCTTACTCATTTTTCTGCTGACCCTTCTCTACCTCAGATGCTGTTTTCCCAGAGATCATGTCAGCCTTCCATGTTCCCTGGAGGGTATATCCTCAGCCTCCCCATCCCCACCTTCTCTCATGGGCTGTGGCCATTTTTTTTTTTTCTGACCTGCATCTCCTGGTCACTATTCCATTTCTCATCACGAATAATGTCAATGCTTTATCTCTGGCCCCCTACCTCCTAATACCTAAGCCCCTATCTTTGTCCCATTTCAGGTATCTACTGGTGCCTCTGCATTGTCCCTGGAGCTGCAGGAAGTGGAGCCCCTGGGGCTCCCTCAGGCCTCCCCCAGTCGTACCCGTTCTCCTGATGTTATCTCCTCAGCTTCTACTGCCCTGTCCCAGGATATCCCTGAGATTGCATCTGAAGCCTTGTCCCGTGGCTTTGGTACTTCTGCTCCTGAGGGCCTTGAGCCAGACAGTATGGCTTCAGCTGCCTCAGCATTACACCTGTTGTCTCCACGACCCCGACCAGGGCCCGAGCTTGGCCCTCAGATTGGCCTGGATGGTGGCCCTGGGGATGGGGATCGGCATAGTACACCCTCCCTCCTGGAGGCAGCCTTGACCCAGGAGGCTGCTACCTCTGATAGTCAGGTCTGGCCTACAGCACCTGACATTACTCGTGAGACCTGTAGCACCATGGCAGAGAGGTGAGGAACTTAGAAGGGGGAAATTGTGCTGGTGGGAGAGGGCTTCAGAATCATCCACTGCTGAGTTGACCTGTCCCCTCAGCCCCAGGAATGGCCTCCAGGAAAAGCACAAGAGCTTGGCCTTCCACCGACCACCTTATCATCTACTGCAGCAACATGACAGCCAGGACACCAGTGCTGAGCAAAGGTGAGCACCACTTTATACCAGTTCCTTCACAAGAGAAGGTCAGCAAGTGGATATGGGCTTACTCCCTGTCTCCCCTTCCCACAGTGACCACGATGATGAGGTGGCCAGCCTTGCCTCTGCCTCAGCAGGCTTTGGAACCAAAATTCCCACTCCCCGTCTGCCTGCCAAGGACTGGAAGACCAAGGGATCTCCTCGTACCTCACCCAAGCTCAAAAGGAAAAGCAAGAAGGATGATGGGTATGGGGGGTTTTGAGGCTAGGGACAGGGTGGTATCTAATCTGCCTGACATAGTCTCAGGTTCCTCTTGCCTATGGCAGGGATTCAGCTGTAGGATCCCGGCTCACAGAGCACCAGGTAAACAATCAAACATCTTTCTACCCCTGGGACCCTATTTTATGAGGGTGGGAGGGGCTCTGTGCCATTTCCTTGTCTAGTGGCTGGGGCTGGGTGGGTTGGCCATCACATGACTGTCAGTGCTACTGACAGGTGGCAGAGCTCCCTGAGGACTGGCCAGCACTAATTTGGCAACAGCAGAGAGAGCTGGTAGAGCTACGGCACAGCCAAGAAGAGATACTACAGCGTTTGTGTTCCCAACTTGAAGGCCTGCAGAGCACTGTTACAGGCCATGTAGAACGTGCGCTTGAGACACGGCATGAGCAAGAACGTATCCTTCAGGTTGATGGCAGAGCATGACAGGGAGGTAGGGACAGCATTCTTGGAAGGGGTATACCAGGAAGTGCTATGGCAGATGCTTCCAGGTCTGTTCCTTAGCTATAATGCAGAGAGGCGGCTGGAGCGGGCACTGGCTGAGGGGCAGCAGCGGGGTGGGCAGCTACAGGAGCAGCTGACACAGCAGCTATCCCAGGCACTGTCTTCAGCTGTGGCTGGGCGGCTGGAGCGCAGCATACGGGATGAGATCAAGAAGACGGTTCCTCCATGTGAGTTTTGCATGGAGAATTCATTTGGGTGGGTCAGATAGGAGAAGGGGGTACCTGTCAACCTTCCTTTTCTGAGTCCACCTTCCTCTCCTCCCGTGCCCCAGGTGTCTCCAGGAGTCTGGAGCCCGTGGCTGGCCAACTGAACAATTCAGTGGCTACCAAGCTCACAGCTGTGGAAGGCAGTATGAAAGAGAACATCTCCAAGCTACTTAAGTCCAAGGTGCTATAGGGGCCCAGAACTGGAGGAGAGGGTTATTGTCAGGTCAGGTTGGGCTTTCAACTAGGCCCCTCGCTTTACCCCAGAACTTGACAGATGCCATTGCCCGAGCTGCTGCAGACACATTACAGGGGCCAATGCAAACTGCCTACCGTGAAGCCTTTCAAAGTGTGGTGCTGCCAGCCTTTGAGAAGAGCTGTCAGGCTATGTTCCAGCAGATCAACGATAGCTTTCGGCTGGGTACCCAGGAATGTGAGTAGGGTCATATGACCCAAGGTAGGAGGGTCTATCCTCTTCTACTACCATCTCTCATGGTCTCCATGGTCACCCACTTAGACTTACAGCAGCTAGAAACCCACATGAAGAGCCGGAAGGTACGGGAACAGGAGGCCAGGGAGCCTGTACTGGCTCAGCTTCGGGGCCTGGTCAGCACACTACAGAGTGCGACAGAGCAGATGGCAGCCACTGTGTCCAGCAGTGTTCGGGCTGAGGTGCAGCACCAGCTTCATGTAGCTGTGGGCAGGTGTGTGGGCAAGGCTCTGGACAAAGTGGTGGGTTTGGGGAGAGCCAGGCTGGTATTCCTACCCACTTCTGCCTTACTTTCCTTTCTTTGCAGCCTGCAGGAGTCAATTTTAGCACAAGTACAGCGCATTGTTAAGGGTGAAGTGAGTGTGGCACTCAAGGAGCAGCAGGCTGCTGTCACCTCCAGCATTATGCAGGCCATGCGCTCAGCTGCTGGCACACCTGTCCCTTCTTCCCACCTTGACTGCCATACTCAGCAAGCTCATATCCTGCAGCTGCTACAACAGGGCCACCTCAATCAGGCCTTCCAGCAGGTATGATCATGTTTGGTGCTAGTAAGGGTCAAGTGTCACCTGACAAGGCCCACACACTACATATTCCACACTCTCCACCAGGCTCTGGGCTGTCTAGCAGACTCTTTCTGATTCTCTTTGGTTTCTAAGCCATTACCTATGTTGCTCCTTTGAGATAGACTTCTTCAACTCATTTTGTTCTCCTGAGGAGGGCACCCTCTCAAGAAGCCTTTTCTGATCATTTGATTTTCTAGGGTACCATATGGCCCTATGATATTCCCTCTGGGTCCCTGAGCATCCCCTGCTGGAGTTCTCAGCACCCTACTCTGTGGTTTTCCTCCCTCAAACCACATACCAGATAAGCAGGCATTCTATCCTGATATTAGCTATAAATGCTGTTGCCTTATTCTGCCCTCAGGCACTGACAGCCGCTGACCTGAACCTGGTGCTGTATGTGTGTGAAACTGTGGACCCAGCCCAGGTTTTTGGGCAGCCACCCTGCCCACTCTCCCAGCCTGTGCTCCTTTCCCTCATCCAGCAGCTGGCATCTGATCTTGGCACTAGAACTGACCTCAAGCTCAGGTAAGTGAATGTAGTCAGGCATTAGGAGATGAGCTGGGGAGTGGAGAAGGGGAAGGAGCAGTTCCAAGCAGAGTTGCCTACTCCTCCTGATTCCTCTCCTTAATTTTCTCCACCCATCTCCACCTCTATCCATCTGAGGTTTAGAGGCTTCCCTTGCCACCAGTCCCTCTTTGCATCAGTGCCATCAGGAGGCATTTCCATCTGTAGCCTGTCCTTTTTAACCTACCCTCAGCTACCTGGAAGAGGCGGTGATGCACCTGGACCACAGTGACCCCATCACTCGAGACCATATGGGCTCAGTCATGGCCCAGGTTCGACAGAAACTCTTCCAGTTCCTCCAGGCTGAGCCACACAACTCACTTGGCAAAGCAGCCCGGCGTCTTAGCCTGATACTAAATGGCCTTGTGACCCCCAGCCTCCCTTAGCAGCTAAGCCTGCCTTGTGTAGGGGTGGGGTGACACTAACGGTCAGCAGTCAGGCCTAGTCCAAGGCAGGGTTGGGGTTGTGTCTGCTATTTACCTGCTCAGGCCTCCACCTCGGGTGTTTGGGGGAAGGGGACAGGGTGTAGTGGCTGTGGTCTACAGATTGTGGTAGCCACCAGAATTAGGCTGGGCCCAGGGCAGGTACTGTGCCTTCTTGGGTTCTGCCATGCCTGGAGCATGACCCTGAGATTGTGACACCACTTGAGTTTTCATGTTCCTTTTTACCTCTGATTTGGATTTTTTTTGTTTTTGAAAAATATTGAGAAATTCAATTAAATGCTTTTTGAATAAAATGGAGCATGTGTGTGAGTTTGGTGTGTCTGATAACTGAAATTACCTTCTCTGGGGAGGTCTGTATACACCAACCCACCCATGGGCATAATAACTCACTCATCTGCTCAACCTTCTGAGATAACTCACTTAAACTCTGGGGCAAGGGATCTGGGGCTACTCATCATCACCCTGTGTGCCTCTGTTCTGGGCATTTCTGTTCTATCTGTGCCAATCCAGGTACTGGAGGTGGAGCTTTCAGCTGGCTTCAGGCCCCGCCCCAGCCTCCTATCCAATTATGGTCCCTCCCTCTGGGGGCTGGGCCGGCCGACAGGCTCTTCTCCAGCAGAGGGTAGCTTCCTCACTAGGCTCCCAGCCGGGGACAATGCCAGGCTGGCGCGGTTGTTGCTGCTGGAGGCAGCCACAGTGTTCCCTGAGGCTGTTGCTGTTGGTGCCATTCGGTGAGTGTGCGGGTGGTGGACCTGGTCCAGGCTGCACCTCTCTTTCAGGTCCCCTACTAGGCTGGTATAGGGTATGTGTGGGAGCTGGGAGCCAAGGTGGAGAGGAGTTATGAGGATTTTGGGAATGTGACAATGGCTTCAGAATTAAAAGTGAGTCAGGAACTGAGCTCTGGCTGAGGAAGGACCCTGAAATTCTACAGGGAGCCTATGGTCACTGACAGAATTCCTGGACCAGCCATAGGATCCCTGAAGTTCCTTATGAAGGTCTGGCCTGGATCCTGACCTCTCTATCCTGCTCAGCCTCATCCAAGACATAACATGTCTTTGAGAAGGAAGTAGAAGGTTAATGCTCATGGAGGCAGCAGAGAGAGTGTCCCATGTGTGTGTGGGCTTGTACTTACACTTCTGAATCCTTAATGCCTCTATGCTATCGTAACTCCTTCTCATGGACCATCATCACCTGACCTAGAGCTCCCAGAAGCTCAGAGGAGGAACCTACTCAACTCCTGGGACCAATGTTCTTTCCTACCCTTGCATCCCAATCTGGGTCCTGTCTTGAAGGGGACCAAGGCAGTTGATCCCTAGACATGCTGCTCAGTTCCCTAGGGTGCCCTTTTCATGCTGAGTCACATCTCCAGAACACTACCAGGTAAACAAGCCTCTGGGGGCTGGGGACAGGCTGGCTCAAACGATCAACCATTCTTCACCCCCCCCCAACCCCCCAGTCCTTGTACCTCCCATAGCAGCAGCCACAGAGGGTCAAAATCGATGTGATACCATATACCAGGGCTTTGCGGAGTGTCTCATCCGCCTGGGGGACAGCATGGGCCGCGGAGGTGAGCTGGAGACTATCTGCAGGTACTGGCAATGGGGAGGCAGTGTGCAAGTGGGAGGCACAGCCCAATTTGCACCATCCTCAGGGCATGAACCTCTTCATCATTCCCAAACCTAATCCCCCCTAACCTCGCTAACCCCCCTAATCCCACTCCTTAACAGGTCCTGGAATGACTTCCATGCCTGCGCCTCTGGGGTCCTGTCGGGCTGCCCGGAGGAGGCAGCTGCTGTGTGGGAGTCACTACAGCAAGAAGCTCGCCGGGCCCCACACCCAGATAACTTACACACTCTATGTGGTGCTCCCGTGCGTGTTCGGGAGCGTGATGCAAGCCCAGAAATCAACCAGGAGACGTTACGGGCGACAGGGCCTACACCTGCCCTAGTCCCCGCACCTTCCCTGTTGGCCGCTGCTTTGACCCTAGCTTGTCTCCTGGGGCCCCTGGCCTAGCAGGAAGGGGTTGTTGGCAGCAACCACATCTCCAGCCCTGGCTCTGCAGAGCGTGCAAGGCTTTCATTAAAGGTATTTGTATTTGCACTAAGCTCCTTCCTTTCTTCCAGCTGCGGCCGCTTGGCTAGGGCAGGGCCCCCCAGAAGCTGATCCTCAGCGTGGGATGGGCGGGGCCTAAAGCCACCACTGGGGACTCACTCTCCCTGCTTACAAACATTAATTTCCCCGGCTGCAGCACAGAACTTTCCATTACTCGCAGGTCCCAAGAGTTCTGGTGGAGACCCAAAATCTGCCGGAATGCCCAGCCATTCTCTGCCTTTGGGCTGGCTGGGGTGGGGGATCAGATTGTGGGGAGGATTCTCAGGCCCACACTTAGCCCTACCTTCCCCTCCTATGGTGGTCCCTATAGAGGTGGTATCCTGCCCTTAATGTAGGGTTTCTCCCCAGCCTCCTTTCTGCCTCTAGGCTCCTTACATCTCAGTTCCCCTTCCTTCTGCTGAACTAGTACCTCAGTCTTCAAGACACACTCAGATACTATCCTCAGTCCCCTCCTTCTCTGGGTCCAGGGGGCTGTTCTGGAAGGTGCAACCCCCTGTCAGAGTCCACATTCAAGCAGTTACAGAATCTGATGTTGTAGAAACTGGGATCAACTGAGTATAATTTAGTATAAATAAAGTTATTTTATTGAAAGAAAAAAAAAAAAGAAACTGGGATCACAATGAGGGATCCTCTGGTCCCTGCTCTCTACAAGTTTATTCTTGGAGAAGTGTACAGATGGAATCAAAATAATCTCCTAAGACTTTTTTGGGGAAAAAGCCACATGTGGTAGCCTATCTTTGTGATCCTAGCCCTCTTGGAGGCTAAGGTAGGAGGATAGAGAGTTCAGGGGCAGCCTGGGCTATGTAGTGAGTTCAAAACCAGATTTAACTATACAGTGAGACTCTGTCTTGGGGTGGGGGAAAATTTAGGAAGAGTGTATGCTATATGTGGAGTCCCTTTTCAATCAAATGGAAAAGAAGGAGAAAAGTTAGCATGGGCAGAAGCTGAGCCAGAAGGCCTCAGAGGGAAGAGTGACCCTCTTCCACCCCAAGACTTGTGTGAGCTCAGCCATGGTCTCCTCGCTGGTTTCTATTATCACTCCTTCCCCTTTATTTTCTACTTTCTAAATTGAAAAACTGATACCCGTGGATAGTAAACGCTTTTTCCTGTCTATAAAGTGCTACATTAGCTTACATCTGTCCATTCCTACATGCCCTTTATGTAGCAGCATAAAGGTGCTTCCTGCTCAGTCCTTGGGGACAAAGGGAGGCTTTAGAGAAGCAAAACAGGATGCATATATGGGGTAATAGGTCACCTAAGTGATGCAGGAAAGATGGGCTGAAATACAGATTGTTTTAGGAGACCTAAAGCAATTGGTAGGAAAAAGGGAGCCATGGCATCCCAGAGTTCAGCAGGCCAGGCTTACACTGGAGTCCATGTTGGGAGGCTGTTACTCTCCGGGACAGAATCAGGCCTCATGAGATTCTTGCTTAGGCTCCAGAGTGGCATATGTCTCCAGAGGCCTCCACACAGGTATGTAGGTATCCTCTGTCATCCATACTTCCTAAACATGTTCCCATTTTGGTGGCTAGCTTGATGCTTCAATTAACTCCTTGTCTTCCCTGACCTACTTTCCCCCTGATTTTTGCTCCCTAAGTCCCTACTCTTCCATGGATTGATTGCATGGTGGGGGCGGGGGTGAGGGGGGAAACAATCTGCTCTCTGGCCAGGGGCTTAAGGGCTTTGTGTATTTTTATTCCAGAGCTAGAGGAAAGTGATAGGCTGGTGGCCAAGCTATCTGGGCTCTGGGTACAGCTGCCCAGGCCAGAGCATCACTGTGACATTATCACATTTGTATTTATATGGAGTCCGGGGGCTGGATGTTGTAGGTGTAGTCACCCCTGCCTCAACATACCTCTTGACTGAACTTTATGCTCTTCCTCAAAGCCCAGATCACCTGCACACAGGGTTCAACAATTTTTTGTTAATTTGCCTAGCGTCTGTAAAATGGAAGTGTTGTGTGGATATCTGAGGGTCATCGATTTGAATTCTATATAATTTTTGATCCTATGTGAGGTCAGCATTATCCCCATTACATAAATAGAAACATGAGGCTTAATGAGGGAAAATGTTGTCCCTAAGAACACATAGCTGTGGAAATGTCAGAGCTGAGATTTGATCTCAGGTTTGTTTAGCCTTAAATTCCATGCTGTTAACAAGAACTTTTACTCTTGTAATTGTGCCTCAGACTTTTCGAAAGCCCACCTTCTAAGTTGCCCAGGTGATCATCTAGATTCTACATTACTATTGGTTTATTCTTGTGCTTTCTGTGTTTAAAAGTTCGACTGTATGAAGCAATTGCAAGGTTATAAATTTAGCTAATAGGAGTTGATAGACAAAGTCAGATGATTATGAGTTCATTTGGTTTAACTAAGCTGTACTAGTTCATTTAATAAGGAAATGATGCTGTTGTGAAATGTAAATTTTTGTGAGTCAAGCATCAAAAAAAAAAATTCCACGCTGTTAATAATTCTACTAGACTTTTGTCAACATTTATTTATTTATTTTTGATTTTTCAGTACTGGAGATTCAACCCAGGGCCTTTGTACTGAGCTACATGTCTGGTCCTTTACTTTTATTAGTATGAACCTATTTATAGTATATGAAGATTACATGCAACATGAGGAGTTGGTACAAGTACACAGTACATCTTCATACTTTTTACTTCTTCTTACTCTCCCCTCCCTTCTTACCCTCCTATGCTTTTTTATTTTTTGAGATAGGGTTTCAATAAGTTGCTAAATTGCCCAGGCCTCCAGCAGTGGTTGGATTATAGGAATGTGCTACCATGACTACTGGAAACAATTTTCAAAGTTTTTCTTATTTATTTATTTTTGATGTTTTGAGAATAGGGTCTCACTGTGTAGTCTAGGTTGGCTTTGGACTCACTTGTAGCTCAGGCTGGCCTTGAGTTTATGGCAATCCTCCTGCCTCAGCCTCCCAAGTGCTGGGATTACAGACATGATGTACTACCAAGCCTGGCTAAATTTTTCTTTAAATGAAATCTTGTATGAACCCTAACTACATAAAACAAATGAAATGATATTTTATATTAATTAATTACTTTTTGTGGTACTGGAGACTGAAACCAGGACCTCTGCACTGAATTAAATCCCCAGCCCTTTAAATATTTTTTAGGGCTGGGGATTTATTTAGCTCAATGGCACCCAGCCTGCCTCACAAGCACAAGGTCCTGAGTTTGTTTTTTTTTTTACTTTTTGAGCCAGGTGTAGTGGCACATGTCTATAATCCCAGGACTTGGTTGGGAGGTTGAGGCAGGAGGACTGCCACAAGTTCAAGGCCAGCCTGGGCTAATAGCTCAAAGCTAACCTGAACTATGTAGTGAGACCCTGTCTCAAACTAAAACAAATACACCAAAAAAAAAAAAAAAAAAAAAAAAGTAAATGAAGGACTGAAAAGGAGAAGATAAAGGGAAGTTACAGTGACATCACCTGTAGCATCTTTTCCATGGCAATTTGAATTTATTGTAAAGTAGTGAAACAACTCTAATGCTACATAAAAGTCACTGTGAATAGTAACAATTAAAAAAATCTGCTTGCTTTGTGTAAAAATAAACTAAGTCGTTGCTGTAGAAATTGGCCCAACACCAATTCAACGTTAACTATTTGCAATTCTGCTGTGATGGAAGACAAATTAAACATCGTGGGTGTCCGAAATTATTTTCTTGTCCTCAGTTATTTTAATCGTAGTTTTAAAAATTAGATTCTGACAGGACGTGGGGTGCACGCCTGAAATCCCAGTCCTTGGGGGGCTGAGGCAGGTGGATCGCCGCGATTTCAAGGCCAGCCCGAGCTACACAGCGAGTTCAAGGGCAGCTTGAACTATATAGCGAGACCCGGTCTAAAACAAAGCAAAACAACAACGAAACACAACAAAACAAAAATAAAAATAGATTTCGTTGATGAAATTTAAGTCAACACTGCGGAGATCAAGAGGCAGTTCAGTTCTAGAATCCCCTTTGAAACTCACTGCATTTCCAGCCTAGCTCTTCAAAGGTCTTTCTCTCTTCTCAATCAGAAATTTCAAAGTTTCTCAGTACCTCCGGCGACCCCAGCCTTTTTCTAGCACAAAGGATTCCAGTAGCTCACGGATATAGCCGCTTTGGGCGACAAATAGACCCATCCCCAAGAAGTGAGCCCGGCCCCACCCTCACGGAGTTGATTGGCAGGTAGCTTTCCAGTGTGCCCAATAGCCCAGCCGGGCTTTCAGAGCGCCCACCTCCGCCCCATCGCCTCGTAGGCGGCCAGGGTTTGTTTCGGCGTCCAGCGCGCGCTGTGATGACGCCACGACGCTGACCCGGGAGGATGATGGCTACGGCGGCGGTGGCGGCGG